CCAAGCTCCTTCGGCCCCAGCTCCCCCCAACTCAGCTACTCTCAAGTAGCAGCAGTGAGGAGAGGAGCCCCCACGGGACTCTGGCTGGAAACCTGAACCAGGCTGCTTGCAGTGCTCCCTAGCAAGGCTATGAGCACCCCAACGAGCATGGAAATACACCAGAACTTGGAGTCTCAAGTAGCAGCAGTGAGGAGAGGAGCCCCCACGGGACTCTGGCTGGAAACCTGAACCAGGCTGCTTGCAGTGCTCCCTAGCAAGGCTATGAGCACCCCAACGAGCATGGAAATACACCAGAACTTGGAGGGGCTAATGACAGGGACAGACTGTTTGGACGGGGGTCCTCCCAGCTAGCACGTAGCACCCTGAGGCAAGGGGCCACACAAGCAGTGGGGGATCCAGCACCCTGAGGCAAGGGGTGCACCAGTGGCAAGGGGCTGCACCAGCGGGGGGTGGAGGGGCCGGCAGGACCCTGGGGCAAGGACCGTTCCAGCAGGGGCCACACTAACGAGGGGGCAGCACCCCGGGGCAATGGGAGGTCTGGAGCCCGAGGAGAGCCCCAGGTGCCTTACCTGTGAGGCGGGATGCAAGGCACTGACACCACAGGCGCTGCCGCTCGCTTCTCTGCCAAGATCTTTCTTGCCTTCTTCATTTTGATTCTGGATTTGGCCTTTGCCTTCTTCACCTTCTCTGAGCTCCAGCCTTTGCCCTCCTCCTCCTCCTCCTCGTCCTCCTCCTCCCCTTCGCTGTGGGACAGGGCAGGCAGCCTGCGCACAGAGCCGGGGGGCGTGTGGATGTCGCAGTAGGCCGTTTTGCGCACACTGAAGGAGGTGCCGTTGGCGCCAGTCTCCCGGACGGGCTCCATTTTCATGTAGAGCCCGGCCTGCTGGGCGCAGGTCACGTGGAAGGCGGTGTAGCAGTTGGCCTTGTGGCACTGGATGCAAGCCCCGGAGCCACGCTGCTTGCAGATGTAGCAGGTCAGCTTCCAGCGGGCTGGGGGGATGTGCTCTATGCTGTCGATGGGCTCCAGGAACACAGTGTTGGCAAAGCAAACCTCGGGGATCCAGAGGGCACAGACCACATGTGCCCAGCGCCCGTCATCCGTCTGCTTGAAGGCCCCGCCCTTGTTTGGGCACAGAGCACAGTCCACCGCCCGGGAGGGGGACTGGAGACACCGTCTGCAGAGCCACTGGCCCTCGGGGATGTAGGGCACCCCATAGCACTCCTGGTGCACTGCCAGGTTGCACATGTCACAGAAGAGGATGACATTGCTGTTCTGACACTCTCCATCATTGCAGATACAACAGACGGCATCCTCGTCAACCAGGGCGTTGGGGTCCCCCTTGTTGTGACTCTCAAAGTAGGACTCCTTCTCCAGCCGGTCCATTAAGTACTCAAAGATCTCCTGGGGGACGGGACTCACGCCCTCCGTCCTCCGCCGGTCATTCATGATGTCTAGCCAGATGTAATCCTCCTCGTCCATGTCATACTCCACCTCCTCGTCCAGCTCCTCCGCCGACTTCTCAATATACCTGAGGGGCACGGAGAGAGGGAATGAGGGACCTAGGGCAGCCTACCCCCCAAAGGGATGAGAGGGGGGGATCTGACCACCTCGGCCACAGAGGAACCCTGGAACCGCTGAAACGGGGGCAGCCACCACACACCCCTTCTCCCAGCTGCTGCTGCTGCAGCAGGCGCAGCGCAGCAAGGACACTGCACGGAACATGGGGCCAGCCCGCAGGCAAGTTCCCACGTGCTCTAGGGCCTTTGGGCCTGACAGCTGAGTTCTGCAGAGCTGGCCTTTCTGCAGCTGGAGCATCTGGCCACCAAGAAGGCTTGGCCCTGGCACGAGAAGGGACTAGGGATGTTAAATAGCAGTTAATTAACTAATCGACTAATTGATGGATTTTCCATTGACTCGTCAAGTAGTCGATAAGCGGGGGAGGTGCCCCAGGAGCTAACCCCACTGTAGCTCTGCCTTTGAAATGCCTGCCGGCTCTTAATACACTTAAAAGGCTGGTGCGCAGCAGGGGGACCTGGCGTGAGCCGGGACAGCTGAATGCCAGCTAACGCTGGGCCCCTGCTGTAAATGTACTACGAACCCACAGGCTCTCAATACATTTAGAAAGCAGAGGCGCAGCGCCTGGCCCCTGCTATTCCCCTGCCCCCACGGACATGGTGCTGGGGGAACTGGCTTTTAACCCATCTCCCCCCAGCACTGGCTCCTGCTCCCCCACCATGCTGCCTCTGACAGAAACAAACTTCTTTTTCTTTTAAACCTGCTGCCTATTCATTTCTTACAGACCTCTATCAGACCCCCCTTAGTCTCCTCTTTTCCAAGCTGAAAAGTCCCCGTCTCTTAAATCTCTCCTCATACAATCCGTTCCAAACCCCGAATAATTTTTGTTGCTCTTTTCTAAGCCTTTTCCAACACCAAGAGATCTTTCTTGAGACGAGGCAACCACACTGTGCGCACTACAGGCCCTCTTCACTGTAAGCCCAAGGTATGTTCCAAAAACTTGAATTTATAGCAAAACAACTTAATGCAGGGAATTTTTTCCGCACAGCTGATTTCCATTTGCACAAGGGGCAGGGTGTGTGCGTGTGACTTAAGAGCAGGGAATGGGAGAAGGTAGAACACGTCAGTTCCTACAAGTGTCAACAACTTTAATGCAGAATAGACATATCGGAGCAACTTATAGCAGGGATGCCCTGTATTCAAGATGTGGGTGTACCATGAATCATAGAATAATACGACTGGAAGGGACCTCAAGAGGTCATCGAGTCCAGCCCCCGCCCTCAAGGCAGGACCAAGCTCCACCTACACCATCCCTGACAGATGTCTATCTAACCTGTTCTTAAATATCTCCAGAGAGGGAGATATAGAATCATAGGACTGGAAGGGACCTCGAGAGGTCATCGAGTCCAGCCCCCCGCCCTCAAGGCAGGATCAAGCTCTGTCTACACCATCCCTGACAGATGTCTATCTAACCTGTTCTTAAATATCTCCAGAGAGGGAGATTCCACCACCTCCCTTGGCAATTTATTCCAATATTTGACCACCCTGACAGTTAGGAATTTTTTCCTAATGTCCAATCTAAACCTCCCCTGCTGCACTTTAAGCCCATTACTCCTTGTCCTGTCCTCAGAAACCAAGAGGAACAAATTTTCTCCTTCCTCCTTGTGACACCCTTTTAGATATTTGAAAACCGCTATCATGTCCCCCCTTAATCTTCTTTTTTCCAAACTAAACAAGCCCAGTTCATGAAGCCTGGCTTCATAGGTCATGTTCTCTAGACCTTTAATCATTCTTGTTGCTCTTCTCTGTACCCTTTCCAATTTCTCCACATCTTTCTTGAAATGTGGCGCCCAGAACTGGACACAGTACTCCAGCTGAGGCCTAACTAGTGCAGAGTAGAGCGGCAGAATGACTTCACGAGTTTTGCTTACAACACACCTGTTGATACAACCTAGAATCATATTTGCTTTTTTTGCAACAGCATCACACTGTTGACTCATATTCAACTTGTGGTCCACTATGACCCCTAGATCCCTTTCCGCCATGCTCCTTCCTAGACAGTCGCTTCCCATCTTGTATGTATGGAACTGATTGTTCCTTCCTAAGTGGAGCACTTTGCATTTCTCTTTATTAAACCTCATCCTGTTTACCTCTGACCATTTCTCTAACTTGCTAAGGTCATTTTGAATTATGTCCCTATCCTCCAAAGAAGTTGCAACCCCACCCAGTTTGGTATCATCTGCAAACTTAATAAGCGTACTCTCTATCCCAATATCTACATCATTGATGAAGATATTGAACAGTATGGGTCCCAAAACAGACCCTTGAGGAACTCCACTTGTTATCCCTTTCCAGCAGGATTTAGAACCGTTAACAACAACTCTCTGACTACGGTTATCCAGCCAATTATGCACCCACCTTATCGTGGCCCTATCTAAGTTATATTTGCCTAGTTTATCAATAAGAATATCATGCGAGACCGTATCAAATGCCTTACTAAAGTCTAGGTATATGACATCCACCGCTTCTCCCTTATCCACAAGGCTCGTTATCTTATCAAAGAAAGCTATCAGATTAGTTTGGCATGACTTGTTCTTCACAAACCCATGCTGGCTATTCCCTATCACTTTATTACCTTCCAAGTGTTTGCATATGATTTCCTTAATTACCTGCTCCATTATCTTCCCTGGGACAGACGTTAAACTGACCGGTCTGTAGTTTCCTGGGTTGTTCTTATTCCCCTTTTTATAGATGGGCACAATATTTGCCCTTTTCCAGTCTTCTGGAATTTCCCCTGTCTGCCATGATTTTTCAAAAATCATAGCTAAAGGCTCAGATAGCTCCTCTATCAGCTCCTTGAGTATCCTGGGATGCATTTCATCAGGACCTGGTGACTTGCTGACATCTAACTTTCCTAAGTGATTTTTAACTTGTTCTTTGTGTATCCTATCTTCTAAACTTACCCTCTCTCTGCTTGTATTCACTACGTTAGGCACACCTCCAGACTTCTCGGAGGTGAACATAAGAGCAGCCACACGGGGTCAGACCAACAGTCCATCCAGCCCAGTGTCCTCTCTGCTGACAGTGGCCAATGCCAGGTGCCCCCGAGGGAGGGATCACAACAGGGAATCCTCACGTGATCCCTCCCGTTACCCACTTCCAGACAAACAGAGGCCAGGGACACCATTCCTACCCAGCCTGGCTAATAGCCATCAATGGACCTAATCGCCATGAATCTATCTAGCTCTTTTATAAACCCTGTTAAAGTTCTAGCATTCACCACCTCCTCTGGCAAGAAGTTCCACAAGTTCACTATGTGCTGAGTGAAGAAAAATTTCCTTGTGTTTGTTTTAAACCTGCTGCCTGTTAATTTCATTTGGTGACCCCTAGTTCTTGCACAGTGGGAATAAGTAAATAACTTTTCCTTATTCACTTTTTCCACACCAGTCACGATTTTATAGACCTTGATCATATCCCCCCTTAGTCTTCTCTTTTCTAAACTGAAAAGTCCCAGTCTTTTTAATCTCTCTTTAAACCCTAACCCTAACCCGTTCCAAACCCCTCAGCATTTTTTTTGCCCTTTTCTGAACCTTTTCCAATGCCAATATATCTTTTTTGAGATGAGGCAACCACATCTGTATGCAGAATTCAAGATGTGGTTGTACCATGGTTTTATATAGAGGCAGTAAGATATTTTCGGTCTTATTCTCTATCCCTTTTTTAATGACTCCTAACATTCTATTTGCTTTTTTCACTACTGCTGCACACTGAGTGGATGTTTTCAGAGAACTGTCCACAATGACCCCAAGATCTCTCTCTTGAGTAGTTGTAGCTAAGTTAGCCCCCATCATATTGTATGGATAGTTGGGATTATGTTTTCCAATGTGCATTACTGTACATTTATCCACATTACATTTCATTTGCCAGTTTCTTACCCAATCACTTAGTTTGGGGAGATCTTTTTGAAGCTCCTCACAGTCTGCTTTGGTCTTAACTATCTTGAGCAGTTTGGTATCGTCTGCATATTTTGCCACCTCACTGTTTACCCCTTTCTCCAGATCATTTATAAATAGTTTGAATAGGATGGGTCCCAGGACAGACCCTTGGGGGACACCACCTGTCTCCACTTGGAAAACTGACCATTTATTTCTACCCTTTGTTTCCTGTCTTTTAACCAGTTCTCAGCCCATGAAAGGATCTTCCCTCTTATCCCTGACAACTTATTTTACTTAAGAGCCTTTGGGGAGGGACCTTGTCAAAGGCTTTCTGGAAATCTAAGTATACCACATCCACTGGATCCCTTTTGTCCATGTTTGTTGACCCCCTCAAAGAACTCTAGAAGACTTGTAAGGCATGATTTCGCTTTACAGAAACCATGTTGACATCCCCCAACAAATTATATTCGTCCATGTGTCTGACAATTTTATTCTTTGCTATAGTTTCAACTAATTTGCCTGGTACTGACATTAGACTGACGGGTCTGTAATTGCCAGAGTCCTTTTTAAATATTGGTGTCACGCTAGCTGTCTTCCAGTCATTAGGTATGGAAGCTGATTTAAAGGGTAGGTTGCAAACCACAGTTAATAGTTCTGCGATTTCCTATTTGAGTTCTTTCAGAACTCTTGGGTGAATGCCATCTGGTCTCAGTGATTTGTTACCGTTAAGTGAATCAATTTGTTCCAAAACCTCCTCTAATGACAATTCCTCAGATTTGTCACCTAAAAAGAATGGTTCAGGTGGCCAATCTCCCCAATAGCCTCAGCAGTGAAGACTGAAGCAAAGAATTCATTTAGCTTCTCCACTATGACTTTATCATCTTTGAGGGCTCCTTTAGCATCTCAATCGTCCAAGGGCCCCACTGGCTGTTTAGCCGGCCTCCTGCTTCTGATGTACTTAAAACCCATTTTATTATTACTTTGAGTTTTTGGCTAGTTGTTCTCCAAACTCCTTTTTGGCTTATTATACTAGCCAATCACACTGAATTTGACAAAGTTTATGCTCCTTTCTATTTTC